ACCAATAGTTCTAAATATTATTTTTATTTAATGATTTTATATACATCCATCCATCCAAATTATCTAAATTATTCATCATTAAAAGATAATTAAATATTAATAACTGATTACTAATCATTGATATATATACATTTATAATTACATACATATATAATATTTCAAAAATAAAATAAAATTAGATGTACAGACAGACAAATGGTTGGATAGATAGATAAAATAAATAAAGAATATTAATTCCTCATTAATCATTAAATTTCATATTTAAAATTAGACACACAAATATATGTATTATAAATTATCACTAAATAATAACAATAATATTTTTAACTATGATTACTTCTTGTATATAAATAATATATTTAATAAATAATTTAATAATATGATAAAAACTGCCTATATAATGGCTATAATATATCATGTATATTTATACGTACATATTTATATACAAATTTGATTACACATATTTATACAAATTTATATGATGAAATCATCAGGCTTGAAATCATCATGCTATTTGGCATTTGCGATTTTTAAGAACCTGAATCTCCATGATTATTAAATTATTACTTCTTTTTATGGCACAAAGTGTCCACCCACACACATACGCATATATAGAGATGCACACACCCACATACAGAATGAAAGCAAACAAATGCGTACACACACACACATCTGTATGGACAGAACTTTTACCCTGTGGCAGTTCCAGTAAATGACAGTCAGTGCAGTGAGGTGAAGCTCGCCGTATTTTGTCTGCTAACGTGATTCACGTATAACTGGGCAGGTTGCTGCTTGTTTTGGGGTAATGTTTACCTGATACCAGTATCTTCAGTGAACAAACACTATTACACAACACTGTCATTCGAACTGTCACAGACCTCAGAAAGCCATAATCGTGACAGTGACCCTCATAAGAGCCATATGAAGCATGAGAACAACACAATTCACTGAGATTCCCTGTAAAGCATGCACGCAGGTGCACATCCATCATGCCAACACATAAATGTCTTATTATCTCCATTGTCTCCTCAGCTGCAGACAAACTAACACACAAGTGCCGCTATTGGCAGCCCTTGATAACCTTGAGCCAGCATTCAAAAACACACAAGACTCACGGATCGTCTCACGTCTTACCCTGTCCTCGCTATTTCGCCTCAGCGTCCCCACCGGCAGCTTGAGGAGAAGCCTGCGGGTTCTACCGGGCGTTACGGCTGCCTGGACCACCATGGTGTGAGTGTGAGCGTCTGGTCCACGAGCGTTCGGCGTCTGCTGACCCGCCACAGACAGACGGGCTGTTCCTCTCTCTCGCTCCGTCTCCACGGCTCCCTCCAGCCAATTTTCCAGCCTGGTTCTGCTTTTCAATGTGTTCGCACCTTCTTTGTTGGTGTTTCTTGCACTCTTTCTCTCCGTTTTGCCTCTGTGTCTTTCAGCGGTGGGCGTCCTCACTATGGTCTTCAGCCCATACTGTGTCGGCTTTCATACTGCTTCCTCAGGAGAAGCGCGTGTGAGTGAGAGAGCGAGCAGAAGGGAGGGAGGTTGTTGTCTCTCTCTCTCTCTTTCTCTGTCTCTGGAAGTAGCCGTGGAATGGCGTGTGCGCTCCAGATACGTCAGCCTCACCTCCAGTCAAACTCAATTCAGGTCACTGGATTAATATGAGTATTATCACATACACACACGTGAGTCACGTGACGCTGCACAAGAATGTATGCATGTGTTTAGAAAGCAAAGCTGTGTATATGTCAATGTTTATGATGAGGGATAAAGTGTGTGTGCTGTAAAATATCCATTCTCCTGCTCAAACAGAATATCTGATGTTTTGCCATCTGCTGTTCAGATTAGCTGTAAATCCCATGGCTGCTTTCACCAGACAGACTACACACACACACACACACATGTGTGTAGGACATTATCGCCTGTATGTCCTAACAGGGATGTCTTGTTAAAAACTGCACTAAATGCCTGTCCGTCCTTCTCTGCTCTTCAGAACTCAATGAAGCACACAGACAGCTACACTCTTTATAACTTTCCATTGCACTACAGGTTCTTTATAGTGGAAAAAGGTTCTTTAGAATTTTTAAATGTTCTTCACACTAAGAAAATAAATGGTTCTTTTAAGAACTGTTCATTGAATGGTTCTTCTATGGCATCACTGTGAAAACATCCTTTTGGAACCATTATTTTTAGTATTTAGTGAGTTTTATGGAGATTGAAACTGCACTGGAATGAGGTGACGTACTGTTGTGTTTATGATAGAGCTTATATTACAAAAACATTCCTGTAATGTTTAAGAAACCATCTGATTCAATCTTGGAAGACAAAACACTAGTGAGTTGCATGCTTCAACTGCATTTTAAAGGGATAATTTACCCCAAAATGTAAATTCTGTCATCACATACTCCTGTATGATTTACTTTCTTTTGTGAAAAAAATTAAAGGTAGTTTGAAGAAATTTTCTGTTTTTTTTTTTTTTTTTATAGAATGGAAGTCAGTGATGTCCTGAACAACACTGGACACCACTGACTTTCATTGTATCAACAAAGGAAGGAAGGAAAGAAAGAAAGAAAGAATTTGTACCATCATGACAGTGAGTAAATGATGAGAGAATTTTTATTTTGGGGTGAAATATCCCTACAAGACATCATGGATACACTCCACTCATAAACGTTGTTCCAAAAGATAGATAGTAATGTTTTACTACATTAAAATACCTTTAAAATATTATTAATATATTCAAATAATTTAACTAATCTAAATAAAATGAAAACAAAAACAAGATTTTTTTTTTTTACAATTTTCCCCCCAAAATTTTTCAATCTTTTCCCTTTTATTTTTTCATTGAACATAGTTCAATAGTTTTAGTTCTAGAACATAGCTTTTTTTCTGGAATCACAAAATAAATTCATTTAATGATTAATTAATTGAATTTGCCTGTTTCATTATATATCCATTACATATACTGGTTTCTGTTAATAAAACATGTTGAAAAACAAGCGGGTTTTTTTTTCATAATACAGCAAAAATAATGAAAATACCTTCTTAGCCTATTTTGGACGAGCCTTCAACAATTGTGTTGGACAACGGGGGGCATCTGAGTCAAAAGGGCTGAGAATTGCCCTCCCAGCATCCTGTCAGCAACTTCTGCATGAGTAAGCAACACTCACATGTAAGGTACTTTAGAAAATGTAAAAATCTAGTTTTAACTGTGTTCTCTCTCTGTCTAAAAATTACAACATTAAACACTGGAAATACTCTTCATATTCTTATTAGACATGCACTGAGAAGGCTTCATAAAGCTTTCCATGGGAACTTCTACAGTCTATATGTACAGTATGAATTTTTTTATTGCCTGTAAGAACATGAAAAGAACCAATACAAATTAGTCTTTTTTCAAATATATACAGAGAAAGAAAGAAAGAGAGAGAGTCAGGAGCTTTCCTTCTAATCCCTGCTCAGCATCATTCATTCATATTAAAAACTGTTTCTATTTTTACCGTACTGCAAAGTCACTGAGGGTGTTCAGATGGCTCTTTGCCTTATATTGCTCATATACAGTCTGTTTTTTAATAGCTAAATCATGCCAGTGTGATAAACCAAGATAGGGAACAGGGGAACTGATAAATTTGTCACACCATGTGTGTTGGTTCCCTCCCCACTCACACACTAAACCAAGCTATTACTTCCTGTGTAACTGTGACATTCTTAATACAACCCGAGAGTGGATAAAACGCCCAAGGGTACGAGTACTAACCCACACATATACAGTATATACACACACATACACCTTCCTGAGCGTTTTCTCCAACACAGCAGGCCATTTTAGCAAATAGGTGAACAACATGTCACCATTCAAAACATGGTAAATGAACCTGTCACACTCTTATTGTTCGGCTAAATGAATTTATCCAATATAATAACAAACAAAATCTCTAAGCACCTTCAATGACACAAAAGAGAGTGTGCGGCAGGCGATGGGGGAGGCTGCTCGACTCTTGCTGAGATGTTTTAATGGAGTTCTGGAGCTCTGCCTCTGTTCTGGGACTGCAGGGGCTCATCAGACCCTGTTTACACTGCACCCTGTAATCTTAGCCCATGGCACTCTGAGTGTGTGTGTGTGTGTGTTTGTGTCTCAGATGGCGTCCATTGCAGTTTGTGTGGCTGTTATCCAGAGTGAGTTTTCATAAATTACCATAATTATTGCAAAACCCCACACACAAAAAAACATCTATCCCCACCAACGCTCTTCTCAGAACCCGGTGTAAGTCCTACTTTGGTACGAACGGAAGACAATTGCATGGAGAAGGAAAGGGTTTTGTAATACTTATCGTGGGAAAGGGTGAGGCTGAGAACGCAGAGTGAAACAAGAAAGAGGGAAAACACGAGCGCTGACAGCAATGATTTGTTCGCCATGTTGGAATAATTCACTTCAGTGAAGCAAATTGATAACGCTTCTGGGGTTATTGAGTCTACAAATTATCAACAGCCACTTTAATTTTCCTCATTAAAATAAAGCACATATCTGTTATCAGGCACTGCAGATGGTTTTGGGAAATACTCATCCGTTTCAGAAGAGAATATTCAAAGGAGCCATATTCTAAGATTTCTAGCAATTTGAATCTTAGTTCTCAGTAAAAGGTATTCTGGTTTCACATTATAAGGTTTCACATTATCATTTCACTTCACCTTATACAGAAGCCAGTCTCTGCTTCAATTGTGATAAAGTTTACAATAAGGAAAATAGTCATATTGTGAGATATAAAGTTACAATTGTAAGATTTAAGGTAGTTATGTTAGTAAACACATTTGTTAGATATGAAGTCATAGTGTAAGATATAAAGTCACAATTAGGGGAAATAAAGCTGCATTAATGGGATATCAATTTTATGAGATAAAATTTATGGAAAATTTCCATTGTTCAAAGAATATTCATGGTGTACAATACAAAGTTGCAATTAGAGTTGCAATACATTTCTATTTATTAGATATAAAAAGTGCAAGAATGGCAAATATAGGTGCAATTGTGCAATAAAAAGTCATATTGTAAGATATAAAGTCACAATTGTACACTGAAAAAAATGATTAATTGAATTTACTAAATTTTTTAAGGTAAGTGGTTGCAATCAATTTATTTTAGCTACATTTACAACAAATTTAGTTGACTAACTTTCAACATTATTTTTTTATTGAAATGTAGCTCAAATACATTTTTTGCAACCATTTACCTTAAAAAATGTAGTATTTTTTTTTCAGTGTAAGATTTAAGGTTGTAGTTGTAGAGCAATAAAGTTCCATCTTTAGACAAAATGTCATAGTGTAAGAAATAATGTTACAATTATAGGAAATAAATAGATATAAAGTCAAAATTGTAAGCTTGTAAAGCTGTAGTTACAAAAAATAGTTGCAACTGTAAGAAATACAGTGATTATGAAAAAATAAGTCACAATTATGGGAAACAAAGTTGCATTTATGAGATATAAAAAGTTTCTGGTATCCGAAATTAAGTTGAAAGTATATAAAAAGTAGAGATGCACCGAATGTTCGCCAACCGAAATTATTCGGGCGAAAATAGCAAAAAAAGCTCTTCCGGTGTTCGTCCGAATAAGCGAAAAGACCGAATAAATTGTACCGAACAATACTTATTAATTTTAAGTTAAATTGTGCTAATTTGGTATAGTGTCTGCTAGAATGTTAAAAATGTTCAGTGTTAAAAAAATTTAAATTGTTGTTTTGTAATTTATTTATTTTTCTTTGAAAAGCAAGACAAAACAGTAAAAAGCACATTTTGGCTTTGTAATTTATGCAATGGTGAAAATAAATTGGCAAAATACATGGGGAAAAAAACTAAAAAAAAACGTGTTCGGTATTCGGTCTTCGGCCCAGTGTTTAATTTTGTTCCGTTTCGGCCAAGAATTTTCATTTCGGTGCATCCCTAATAAAAAGTTACATTGTAAGATAAAAATTCTAAATGGTAAGATTTAAGGCTGTAGCTACAAGAAATATAGTTGTCATTGTTAGATAAAAAGTTATAGTATAGTGATGTCTGATGAAGGCCTTGATAATGGCCAAAGCGTCAATTTAACCAATAAAGTTTTGATCTCTTCAAGAGTGAGTGCTGCACCTTTTCTAACTGAAAATGGCCTTTTGATTTTTGGTTGCACTTCCTCTTTCGCTGGTAGAGCACCTCTTTTCAGTAATCTTTGTATATAAAGTTATAGTGCAAGATATAAAGACACAATGACAGAAAATACAGTTGCATTTATGAGATACAGCATAATAAGTTTCAATTATAGGAAATAAGTTTCCAATTGTGAGATAAAAAACAATCATATTGTAAAATAAAAATTCACCATTTCAATACATAAAGGTTTTACAGCATGGAAAATCCTCTTTTTTGTGATATGATTCCTTTACATATCAAAGTGGCAGAAAAATCAATGCAAGACAATACATGGGAGTCGCCCCCTTCATCGGTACACAAACTAAAAGACGTCTTACACAACACATGACGAAGGCACATAAGGATCTTCCAAAACCCTATTCAATAAAAGCCAAATAAACCACAACAGCGAGAGGGACAGAGTGTTTTGTCCCCAGTGCAACGTTTGAAT